ATATTGTGGAATGATGAGGAGACCAAATATATATTTCCAATTTATTATAGCTTTGGAACCTCTTGGAGAAAATGAGCGATGGAGCTTGTGGAGCGTGGTTCACATGGAGGATTGCTCTCTTGGTTTGCTTCATAGTTTTTGGTTTTGCCATACTTTTGTTATAGTCATAGTACATGCTGATGATAAATGCAACATAACCAGATAGAGTTGTTTTCGTTTCTGGAAATGTTCCTTTATTTATGCAATGCATTTGCATCGTGCAGCAAAGGCTTTGCTATATTCTTCCGATACAAAAAAATGAGTGGTCGTTTTTCTCGTACAATCTACGTTGGCAACTTACCTGCAGATATAAGAGAATCGAAAGTTGAAGATCTGTTTTACAAGGTTTGTATTAAATGTTTTCATGTGAAGCTTATACTCTTGTTAGCAGAATAATGAGATTTATTCATTTTAAGTTAATTATACGTGCACCATTATCATTGCTATTAACCTCAGAAATGATTATTTTTTCCTACTATTAAGCATGTACATGCCTGCTTGCTGTTTATCACTATTTCCTTGAGTGATGCTATATATTTCCAGCATCCCATGGTCACCTCAAAACATATCAAAAGTTCATCCAGGCACAGCTGTGCTTCCGATCAGCGGATTCAAATATTTAGAAATTTAAGCAATACATTGCTTGTCTGTATACTGCTCAGAGGATGAACAATATGCGTGCGTATAACTTATGCAATGCTCGCTGTTTGCACAATAACATATAGATATGTTTGTGTGTGTGTGTGTGTATATGTATATATAGATGGCATGTTTAGTATTTTCTATACAGCTGCAATTTAGCTGTCCAATGGTTTACCAGTATGGCTGAGCTCACAGATTTTGTTATTTGATTTTGCAGTATGGCCGTATCCTGGATGTTGAATTGAAGATTCCACCTCGGCCCCCTTGTTATTGTTTTGTCGAGGTAGTGCTCTTACTACACTTGATATCTGCAACATATGGAGCTAGGTAGCCATCTTGTATTTTCTGGATGGAAAAAAGGATAGCGCTTTGAATTATCTTTTGGGGCCATTGTGTGCATTGTTGGTTGTCTTGGGTTGCAACAAGAGTGTAGATTTGTTTTGAGTCTGGGGTGGGGAGCAACAACTTATTGAGAAAATGCTGAAGCTATCCTAATTATCTCACCTAGAGCCCCCCTCTCACAACTGGAACCTTCACCATTGGACTCGTGGTTTTTTGTTTGCAGTTTGAGAATGCTCGGGATGCTGAAGATGCAATAAGGGGCCGTGATGGCTATAACTTTGATGGTTCTCGTTTAAGGGTATTAACTGGTTCCAATTGTTTCTCTATATATCTTTTACTGCTCGCCTCTTTTATTTCTCATTGTTACTATGCAGGTTGAGCTTGCCCATGGTGGTAGAGGACCATCCTCAAATGATCGTCGTGGTGGGTATGGTGGTGGTGGTGGTGGTGGAGGAGGAGGGGGTGGGGGTGGGGCTCGACTTGGCATCTCACGCCATTCTGAATTTCGAGGTTTGTTTGGGGAATATTTTTTTTCTTTATAATAGATTCAGAGCAATAAATAGACACTGTCCTTCCAAAAACTACCCTTCTTGCATATGGTTTGAACTAGTTTCCTTCCAAGTAACCTGGATATAATTCTAAACCACATATTTGACCTGCAGTTATTGTTCGTGGTCTTCCTTCTTCTGCTTCCTGGCAAGATTTGAAGGTTGGAGAACTTCCAATGCTTAACAAACAAAATTTATCTGTTTATTTACCTTGCTACTTAGTGATAAATTGATTTCAGGATCATATGCGGAAAGCAGGAGATGTGTGTTTTGCTGAAGTTACTCGTGATGGTGATGGTATGCCTCTTAGAATGCTGTAACTTCCCATTCCTGTTCCTGTTTTAGCTTTTTTCTTGAAATTCATCTAACTGGCGTTCAATTTCACATCCCAATTTGGAGTGAGGTGCAAAGTATGCTTGGATGCTGATATTGGAACACACAGTGTTAAATATCTCATGAGCTGCATGTCTTCATGCTGCTACTGAATTGAAATTTTGGACTTAACATTCAGGAACTTTAGGCCTTGTTGATTATACAAATCATGAAGACATGAAATATGCCGTGAGTTGTTTCTTGGTTCAAAAAAAAAAAAAAGGCTTGGGATTGTTGTTCTTTCCTCTTATCTAACAGCTGGCATGGGTTTATGCTATTCAGATTCGGAAACTTGATGATACTGAGTTTAAAAATCCCTGGGCCAGAGCTTATATTCGGGTAACCATTAAATCCAGCATTTTATCTGTTGAGTTGGTAGTAAGTTAATTCAAATATTTGAAAATGGTTTTATAGTGCAGAACTGTCTGAAGCATGCAAATTTTCCCTGTTCTCACTTTAATTATACCTAGCGGATCCTTACCTCACTCCCTCCATCTTCTATTTTGGAGTTCTAGGAATTGTTGAAAACATCAAGTTTCGAGGCCTTTTCTTTTCATACTTCTCTGTAGAATAAAAATAGCTCACTATCTTCCACATGGAGATGCTTTGGACATATATTAAGGAAAATATTTTTTAAAAGATGCCAGGCTCATTTAATAATTGCTGTTTGTTCTGATCCGTAAAGGTGAAGCAATATGAGGGCTCTCCATCAAGGAGCCGAAGCCGTGGGCGGAGCAGGAGCAGGAGCCGAAGCAGGAGCAGGAGCAGGAGCAGGAGTCCGAGGAGGAACCGAAGGTGTGTGTGCTCTTTTATTTTTTCAATGGCATTCTACCTTGAAGGTTTCTTTTTTCACCATGAAGTGATAGCTGTCTGTTTTTATGCAGCAAATCATTGGAACGATCTGTTTCAAGGTCAAGGTCAAGGTCAAGGTCAAGGTCAAAAACTAGATCTGCTTCACCTCTCAAATCATCCAGGTAATTAGTTTCTTTGCATCACATTTTATTTGCTGTTTTTCTTGAACTGAGGCACCTTTTGTCATTCTCTTGTATTGAATACGCAGACCAAAATCAAGGTCCAGGTCGAAGTCTGAATCTCCCACCAAGGCAAGTCCCCCTTTGATTGGTTAATCAAAAAAGAAAGGGCAAATAATTTTTTAGTTATTATTTTGTTGTGCGCGTGAGACTTCAATACAGTGTCTAATAATATACTCAGTATAAGCTCCTCTCTCTTTGCAGGCACGGTCAGGCAGTGCCTGACCGCTTTAAACTCCGTATCCAATCAGACTGTTACCTGAAACTTCTTCGATGTAGAAAACTCCTGAGGCCTGCCTGCAAGAATATCGAGGGGCCTGTTGTTCTAAATATCCAGTCAGACTGTTACTTGAAATGCTTTGATGAAGACATGAACTAGTAGTGTAAGGCTTGGTGGTTTCTTGTCATTTTGGATTGCGGATTTTTACCTTAAGCTTAAACCGAGTATTTGTTTATGTTGGCACTTTTGTGTTGAATTTGGCTACTTCCCTTCCATCAATTTAAATCAGTGAACATTCAAGTGTGTTATAGTATGACCTGTTACTTGTCACTTCAGTTGCACTGATCTGTTAATACAAATCGACGGTGCCGTCATTTTGTTGTCCATTACCGGTGGAACATTGGTGGTGAAATGCCATGGAAAATGAAATGGGACCAAGTATTCTCACCGGTGGTGATGAGAGTGAGCGGATGTGTCAATGTTTCCTTCTCTTCTTGCACCGCCTGTATGTGCGTGAATGTACAAATTAATAGCCTTGTCTGGCATGTTTTGGATACAAAAAGGATAAAAAAAAAACGTTTAATTAGATAAACGAAGATAAAAGATGTAAAAGTAATTAATTTCTTGAAAATTTTTGGAGTGAATTCTTCTTTTATTTTTAATATAGAAAACACATTTAAATAGTAAGAGAAGCTTCTCTTGCAGTTGCCACAATATCATCCAACGGTTGTCACAACATTCCATCTCGGTCCCGCATCTCAAAACCCCAGAACATTCCATCTTGGTCCCCCATCTCAAAGCCCCGTTGATTAATCCTAACTCTTGAGGTAAAACATTTTTTTTTCTTGGAAGATATTAGTTTACATGGTAATAAAAATATTTTTTGATGTAATTTTTTTAAATTTTAAAAAATTATTTGATATTATTATTAAATTCAGTTTAATAAGTTAATTTTAAAAACTTGTAACACGATTATTTACCTAACTCGACTTTAAAATTAATCTACTAATCTATTAATTTTGATGACCAGTAAAAAATATAATTTGATTTTTAAAAGTAAATAAATCAAGATGATTTTTTTTGATATTGTTATCAAATCTCATCCAACATGTCAACTTTTAAACCTCTTAACCCGACTCTATTTAATTCGAGTTTAGATTAAATTTGTAAGAGTTGTTCTGACGTGATCTAATTGATTTGATAAATTCAAGAACTAGCTGAAAATACTTGTAAAAAGTGTTGTTTGTCTTTAAAAAAAATTCTAGCTAATCTTTTTTTAATATTAAACATTAATGTATTGGATTAACTTAGACTTTGTGACTTAACCTTTTAAATCTGCTATTTAGATGATGAACTCTATTATATTTAATATTTTTTTAAATATTTTTTACTTTATAATATAATAAAAAAAGATATGCATGTAAAATTAAAAATAAATGAAATATTAGGATTTTTATTTGAAATTGTACTAATCTTATAAGATAAAAATTAAAACAAAATAAGAAGAAAAATCCAAAATCAAGCAAATATATATATATAAGACTCAGGTGAAAGGAAAAAAAAGAAGGGAATGCATAACTCAGGTGGAAGGAAAAAAAAAGAAAAGGGAATGCATAAAAAAAATAACTATCTTCTTTACTGTTTATTTGAACATGGAAATAAGTTATGGTGATTGTTGCCCACCATTGACAGATGGACTCCACCAACCAAGGAAGTTAGGCCATGGAATCCATCTGGGCTCCACAAATAATTTGCAATAAGGGCTCATTGAACGTACTTGGGCTGCCACAAAATACAGATGAAAAGCAAAACCATTTCTTTCTTTCTTGCCGCTCTTCCTGAAACCCTAGTCCTATCTATAAATGCAAATCAAACTCTCTCAAACTCCCTCCGCAGCAGCAGGTCACCAAGCAAATCACAGCAATCATGGCTGGTAGCGAGCTTGCTTGCATTTACGCTACCCTCATCCTCCACGATGAAGACATTGCCATCACTGTAAGAAACACTCATAACAAACACAAGTTGGTTTTTTTCTCCCTATAGTTTTGCGAAGAAAACTAATGTTTTTTTCTTGAAATAATTATGCAGTCAGATAAGATTGCTACGCTGGTGAAGTCAGCTAATGTGACTGTGGAATCTTACTGGCCAAGTCTTTTTGCTAAGCTTGCGGAAAAGAGAAATGTGGGTGATCTTATCATGAATATTGGCGCTGGTGGTGGTGCTGCTGCTCCTGTTGCTGTTTCTTCTTCTGGTCCTGCCGCTGCATCTGCCGCTGCTCCGGATGTTGAGGAGAAGAAGGTAAAGTTAATGGTGCTGTTTTTTGGTGTCGAAGTCTTAAATCGAGTGTGTTGTTTTTGTTGTGATTGGTTTTGCTTATTCGTCAAGGTTTGATTTTCACGGGAATTTTAAATGAAATTGCAGGTTTTGTTTTGTGGGTTATTTGAGTTTAGAGAATTTGTATTTTGTTTTGAGATTTGGTTTTTGTTTACGTGCAGGAGGAAGATCCAGAGAGCGACGATGATATGGGATTCAGCTTGTTTGATTAGGTGCTTCTTTCCATTGTTATCAACTGCAACACTTTTGGCTTCTTTATGAAATTAGGACCGGCTCCTAAATTGCAATTTGGTGAAATTTTGGTTGATGATTTGAGAATTTCTGACTGATTGACCATTAATTCTTTCTAGTAATACAAGAATTTTTGATGTTTTAGCATTATAACTTGCTTGTGTATACCAATCATGATTCAGTTCTCAACAAATCTTACTTGCTGGATCATAGTTCAATGGTTTTGTTGTTTCAAAGCTTTCAAATATATCCGACTAAGTTGTTATTTACTCTATCATAGTTTAGGATGTTATCCAAGTTTGATGTTCATGGCGTTGGAGATTATCCAAGTTTTGGAAACCTACTAACACAGTTCACGATGGAAGAAGATTTTTTTTATGCAATAGTTTTCCAGTTGTATTCATTACTGTGGCAATGCTGCATTCCTAATAGCATGTGCTCGAGTTTCTCTTTGGTTCGAACTTCAGTCATCTTTCCACTTGTAACAGCTAGGAGATGATTGTTTTGCTAATTTCAAAACACCACAGAGAAGAGATCTAGCCTCCTCAACAAAAACCGAACCTAATCTTGAGTCCAAAAAGATCGTGCTTCAGCATGAGAGCTTGAGAGTTTTGAAGTCGGTATCTACAGTGGAAAAATAGTCTCTTTAATTGAACACTGAGATTTGAGTTGGAAGAAATTTTAACCATTTTTTCTGGGCTAAACTGCTTTAATTTACTAGCAAGGGCTATGGAAAATGATGATTGGACATTGCTTTGGCATGCCTACATGGAACCCACTAAATCAATCTTTCTAACGTATAAGACAAGAACATTAGCCCTGTCAGGATGCACCCATCTGTTTAATACATAGTTTGTGTTCATACCAAATAAAAAAATGATATAGATTGGCCCGCAATTAATTAAAATTAATTTTATTTAAACATAACTTCCTTTTATTTATATAAACTGAGGGAGTAAGGAATAATTTACTCATATATATCTTGGCAAAAGCTTGCCCACAACATGGTATGCACAAGTGCACCGAACAAACTTTCTTGATCAAGAAAACACCATGAACACCGCCACTATATGTTGTAAAAAATCATGCCGCCAACACATAATTGGAACAAGTAACCGGTCAGTTCTCCACTCTCCTCCACAATTTTATGTAAACTTAACTAACAAGTGGCTTGTTCAAACTATAATTTTAAAACCCGATCTGATTTAGTGAATTAATTCGAAATCTTAGTAACTGGAGGCATAGATCAGAGATGACCTGCTTAAAAATTTAAGTTGACTTACAACCCAATCAATTTGAAAAAGGCTTGTTGATTTTTCTTATTTTTATATTTTTTTAAAATAATATCATTTTTATTTCTAGAACATGTCTTGCCGAGTCAGGTAAAACCTCCTGTCCAAACACAACCGGAGAGCGCCGACTCCAATGTTCGGCCAGAGAACGATGCCCTTTCCTTTTCCTTTTTTCATGCCTAACGCCTAAAAGCCCCCTTTCTGCCCTTTGCCATTCCGAAGTCTCAGAATCCGTTTACAGTTGATTTGTTGGTGGTAAGTGAGCCGCTCCAGCCGCCTTTGAGATACTGGGGATTGGGAATGAGCTTCATGCTCTGGCTCATAGTGAGACCTTGATTCCGGGGAAGGCGGTGAAAGAAATGAAAACTATCCTCCAAAAGCTCACCTTAAAGTGGGGCAGGCTAGCCTGTTAACAGATAAGCCTCATAAGCAACATAACCAACAGAAGTACCTATCTGGGTCGCCTTGTCGTCAACAACAAAGAAGCCTTCTTTGAGCTTGCAAAAGGTGAGTTTCCAGCTCAGTTTTGACATGTCCCAAAGCACCCCACGTAGGTGATTAGTCAAACAATGGGTGCTCAACTTGCAAGGGGCAGTTGAAATATATCAGTGTCCAGTTTGCAAGCAGTAACTGGACCCAGTCATCCTTCGGTCCAACCTCTACACATACATTCCACCGCGTCTTTCCAGATATTTCTAGGCATTTGAGATGAGATTTCTCCTACCCTTTATATACCTCTCCTCTCTCCCTCTCTCAAGTATCGAATCCAAGCAAGAAATCCTTCTCCTTCAAGAAACCAAAGAGGAAATCCCTTTTCTTGAAACCTCAAAAACAAGCTTGTTTTGAGCCCCAAGAAGACGATCTTTAATTGCTTGCATAGTTGTTGTAACATATAAGAAAGAAAGTAAACACAGTCCACTTCTTCGATCCAAGTTTCAATCACGATGATGTCTATGTTCAGTTCATTTGATGCCCTATGCGCAGAATCACTTGTGCAGAAGCTCAGGTTCTCATCCAGAGCTTCCAAAGAAGGGAACAACCAGCAACAGGTTGAGTCCATGAAGAAGAGAGAGATGTCTGAAGGGAGCGATGACAAGTCTTCAACATCATCGTCAAAATCATCTCCTGTAAACATTAACAAGCCATTACAGCAACAAAAGAGGAGAATAAGGTTTGCTCCGGAGTTAGATGGAGTGCACTGTTTTGAGACCATGATTACTTACTGAGCTCTTCTTTCAGTTTTTCACTAACTAATTTTGTGTGTGTATATATTTATTTATTGCGGGTAATTCATGTAATGTAATCAACATTTTGCAGTTATAAGACTCATTTTCCCCTCTTAAGTTGTCGATTTAACATCATTAACTTAATTAAATTCAAGTTTCTTTATAGGCAAAACCGCAACCAAGTGTCGTATTTGTTTTTTATATGAACGGGTACTTTCACTAGCCAAGAAGGTAAAGAATAAAAATAAAAAATGGAATTGCTGTGATAGCTTATTGATTGCTCTGATGATGGCCTCCACCCTCCGATGAAACTTAGGACGCCAAGTAAGGAATAATTTGGTATAGTGCCTGAAAGTCCATCCACTTGAACAAATACCCTCAATTTCTTGCATGATAAGGTCATATGCAAGCAGCTGCCCACTGCTATTTTCGTCAAAGAACTTACCGTAACCATAAGAATCTCTGGCCATTAATTCCGATTTCCATTTCATCAATTACTTTGAACACTGAAAAAAAGTTAGATGAAGGGAAGAAGGTTGAAGTTTTCAATACTTGCAAGAAACTATCATGTTTTAAATGCCATCAGCACACGTACCTATGCTTTCTTGACGTATCTTTCTTGTTTACCAAGCGGCACATCTCTTGTTCTTATCTCATATTTCTAATTAAAAATCTTTCTAGCATAATATTCCTTATGGCATTCAAGACATTGACCGTCTATAATATCTCATGTTTTTCATATCTCTAAATGTTGTTTAATTTTTCTCAAAAATAAAAAAGGCCATAGCTTGCCAAATTTTCCATAGATCATAAAATCACATTGTTTTGTTTTGTTTTTTCAAAAAGTTAAACTAGGGGCAGCGTGACCGGTGAGACGACGATGACTTTTATTCTTGTTTGTTTATTAAAAAATATATTCTTTTAATTTTTTTATAAAAAATAAATTATTTTATTATGTTTAATAATATTATAAAAAATATTTTTTAGTATTTAATTATGGTATAAGAAATAAATTAAAAAATAATTTATTAATATTTAATTTTTTTTCTTAATTTTATTAAAAAAATAAGGACCTAAACTATCAGATTATAAAGTTAAAAAATGATAAAATTAAAAAATAAATTAATTTTATAAATAATTTTAAATTAAAAATAACAGTTAAAAAAAAGTGAGGAAGTTGATGGAGGATAAAATTAAAAAAATAAATTTTATAAATTATTTCAAATAAACAAATAGCAATCAAAAGAATAGGGGTTAAATCTAATAGATAAAAAAAAATTTCAATTAAAAAATAATAATAAAAAACAAATAACAATAAAAAATAAAGAACAAAATTAATATAAAATTTAAATTAAATCAAATTTCAAATGATAAAATTAAAAAAACAATTATTAAAAAAAAATAGCAATTAAAAGATTAAAAATCAAATTTAATATAATTAAAAAATAACTTGATATTTTTAATTTTTTTGCTACTTCTTGAAAATGAAATATTGTTCAATAACTAACTTTTTAAATGATAAATAAATATAAAAAATTTGAAAAAATAATTCTCAAGAAACTACTATTTTTCATAAAATAAACAGAACCCTAGTTTAATTTATATAAAATTCATATTATACTAGGAAGTCATAAGTCCGAACCAAGTTTAATATTAGTGAAGAAACCTTTGATTTGAGACCAAGTCTTTGATATTTATTTGGATGCATTAAGATACATTTATAAACATAAAATATTGACCATTAAATGGGCACGAGTGTGATTCAAACCCAAGTCACACGTGAGGGTAAGAAATACATTTATCTGTTTTTTTCTTCTTCTTTTTTACATGCATGTTTCTAACAAGTAATCATGACCTTAATGTTATTGAAAAACTTATGTTTAGGAAATTATTACAACTATATATTAGATCAATTAATTGAATTTGGGTGAGTCTTGACGTCATGAAAATAGACAAGATGCATACTCTTTTTTCATGAGGGCAAGTTGCTTGCAGGATAAGAGATTAGCGAAGTGCTATGTACTTGTGTGGTCGGCTCACTCCCTCTTGACGTGGGCTCTCCTTCTATTCTCAGGAGGAAACTATGTCCAATGGAATAGGTAACTTGGAAATTGGATAGGATTATCCTTTTCATCTCTACCCCATATGAATGCTCATGAAATCAAAGCCATAAATAGAGCCTAATATACTATAAATTCAAGAAGGTGAAGAGGGAAGGAAGGCTAGGTCCTTTGTCACATAGAAATTTTCAGTTTAGGTTTTTTTGTTTTTCCTAGTCATGATAGTACCATAAGAGATAGTCTTTGTATTCCTTTCTTTCTTGCCCTACTTTTCTTGCACTTCTTTCCTCTCTTTGTCACTCTTTACTTCTCTTCACTAGCAAGGTATCTCAAATTCCTTTGCTATTGCTTTACCCCCTCCGTAGCGTTTCTCCATATAAAATCAAGTTATTTCATTAGAGGCCATTGTCTCCAAGAATAACATAGAAGAATGGCAATGGGTGCAATGTCTGTGACAGTAACAGTTGTTGCTGCTGCAGCTGGGATTTGTTTCTTCGACAAAAGCCACTCCAAAGCTCAGGTGATAAACTAGGTCCCTTCATAAATTTCTTTGCTTTCTGTCAACTTGTAGTTTTAGTCTCTTGTTTATGTGGAAGAATCAAACTTAACTTTGTTTGTTGTTCAGGAGCTGAGAAGCAGAATGAGATCATCTAGTGAAAACATGGTGGCAAAAGTGAAGAAGACCAGTGAGATGCCAAAATTAGCACCCCAACTGGATGGATTAAACTGTTTTGAAACATTAATATGTCATTGATTCTGCTTGCTCTCCGTGGTTAATTATCTCCAACACTGCCTTGCAGAGGTTGTTATTAATGATAAACCATGGACATATCCTTCTTTATCCAAAACATTACTTAATGCTTCTGTTGTCGCTAGTCATGCATTGCATTGATTAGACATTACTAAGGCAAAATGCTACAATTTTTAGTCTAAACTTTTTCTGATTATGATCTATTTGTTAATTCCTATGGCATGAAATGAAAGAGGTTGAATTGGAGGAAATCAGGAGAGGGATGTCTCCTATGAAACTTCTCATTCTATTAAGATTAGATATTGTACTTGAGCAGAGCATGCACAGAAGGAAGATTAAAACCTTAATGGGTGTTTTTAACTGATATTATGGGAGAAGCTATGCCATCAAAGCACAGGACATCATGTTGACAAATATTTCTGCAACAAGCGGGCTGAAATGAGACTGATGAACATAAACAATGACAACATGTAGAGCAGACGATATATGGACCTCCAAGTATCTGTGGTTTAACTGATTGAAGAGAAAACTTCTGCTTTGAGTAAAAGCATCCTTATCATATCGCATTATCAACATGTTTCTGAAGTATGATACAAAATTATACAACCTCCCACTCCCACTGAAAAGGGAAGAGTGACACTGGTTGTAGTTAAGAAGTATAGCATCTCTCATATTGGGTTTTCAACTTTCAAGTAGTTCCAGCATTAAATCTTGCATTCCTTCCCATGTTTCCAAACCTTCTTCCCACATTGAATATAAATGCCTTCGTCAAGAGTGCTCGATCAAAGCTGCAGGCAAGGATAATAGCCCCACCAAAAATTAGAAGCTTTGGTATGTTCTGGCCCAAAGACTTCTCAGAAGTAGTGGTAGCTGCTTCATTCTCTGACAAATTCTCATCACCTCCCAAGGATCTCAGCAACACTGGATTTATTTTGGTGTTCATCTGAGCCATGAAAGCAGGCCGAGAAAGTTCTGCCCCTGATGCTCTTGCTTTTTGGTAGGCACGTAAACCAGGTTCAATCTTCTTGACAGTTCCCCACATGCCCTGCCGCACTCCAAGCTTAGCGATTTCCCATGGGATGCCCATGTCTTCATGATGGAAGAGCAACACCTCACAAGCAGTCAGCTGGCCATCACCTCTCTTCGATTCCACTGATCAAGTGTAATTCAAGCGGATTTAGCTGTTAGTCACTATTCTAAGTCTCATGACAAATAATTTACAGACTAGCTCTTCACGGGACAAAGCAGTTGCCCAATGTTCTGGGGTAGTGAGAACCTGAAGAAATGTTTCAAGGTGAAAAAGGATTTATTCAATTAAATGGCAGAAAGGAAGAAGATATGATATACCTGCTCGGATACACCAACTTGAGTAGTATAGGTCAACCCGTTTTGGCTTATCTCGCCTTGGGACAGATGAGCATGGTACTCCCTGAAATTAGTTAGAAGCAGTCAATTAGATTGGAGGTCCAAAATCTCAGCGATGATTGCAAAAGAAAACAAGCAGACATGATAAAAAGCTGATAGATGAGATTGCAGAATGCTCCCATTTGTTAATAAAGAAAGTCTTTTTCCATAGGACCTTGTGGTCCATTGCTATCTCTCTCCCACCAGTGGGAAGTGATTATGAGTTTGAGCAATAGAAAGATGTAGTTCTAGAAGAAAACTGGGTTAGTTTGGGAACTTTAATTACACAGAGAGGGCCTCCCTCATATCCAAAAGGAACGAGTCTTTTCCATCCCTATCATTGTGTATCGTTTCAAACATTTTCTTAGACACAAGTTACTAATTTTTCAATTCACCCGAGTCAATTCAATAGGAACTGGAACTAACAAGAATTACACTCTGAGAAGCACTTTAAGCCATCCCAATTTTAAGCCAGTGAGAATCAATTGTTTATTTGTACCCTACGGTTGGAGATATTCAAAATGGAAGGTTTCAGAAGACCAGTTCAACTTAGTTAGCATCAGCAGCCCTAGCTGATTGGCTTGTGAGACCTCTGTTACCTTACATATAGCTAAACTCAGCTTCCATGTTTGTCCCAACATAAGCTGAGTTAGGTACCAAGTAGATGCTGCTTACTATTATTATTATTGTCTGTCATTTATAAACACAGAATTATAAACTCCTGATTCATACCTTCGTCACACAGAAATAAGATCTGCCCGACTCCCATATTCGTCGACCTATTATGTATTCTCTGTCACTACAGAAAAAGGGAAACTGCAGCAAAAAGCATTGGTAGGAGATAAGCACATAAAACCAGGACAAGCTATGATTTAGAACATATGAAAGGAAGACTCACTTTTCGTATCCAATGCACTAGCATGGTCCCTGTGATGGAACATTCATCTAATATTGCAGAATAAGCAAGCATGTCATCCCACTTTGTCCGGAAGTCATCATCCCAAAAGAAGTCTCTCACTATCTCTGGTGAGGCATCCTCAAAGACGGTACTGCTACGATATTGAGGAGGACCAGTCTAGCAACCCATTAAAACAAAAACTGATAAAAAAGATGTCTATATTCCACACATTATCCAATTGCATGAAAGAAAGTAGCAGAAATTCCAACCAAATTACCAAATTGAATCAGAAGAACTGATAAAACTGTTGGCCTGTATTAAATTACAGTTTGAATAAGAGAGAAAAGCCTACCTTGGGATCTCTCCTCCATGCTTGGTATCTCATAGTTGGGGTGGAACGATCCATCATATGTATCCAAGTAGAACCTCCATCTTTAACCTCAACAAGCTGGTTCAAATGTTTTAAATCCTCCTCCGTGACTAGAGTAGCAATATTAGACTGCTCTTCATTCAGCTGTGATCTACTAGACAAGTACAAAGAAGAAATTATTGACTTGCCCCAAATTAAGCTCATTCACAATTTTCTTTGATATTATCCAAAACCATTTTATGGTCATCCCATAGAGACAAAGTTTCCCATTGTGTGTCAAACCCAACAATTGATAATTCTAAACAAATTAATCATAAAGCAAGAGATCATTGCTAAACTGGAAACTATTACTACAAGGAATCATAGATTTTCTCTTTCTTGCCTCGTCCAATTCTAATATTTGCACAGATTCAAGTTTCCCATTAGATACCATAATATCATACCATAAGGTGTCATGATGGCACAAGCAACCCTCAGTCAATCAAACTGATTACGAATCTCAACTCCACAAAATTATTGAGAACTTTACCCGTTATTTAACAATAGACAAAACAAATACTACTGACAAACTTCTAAATTCATTCAAAGATTGCAAGGCTCATTTCATTTAATCTTCTATTGATGCAGAAAACTAGACACTTTGTGATAAGGGCTCGTACCTGCAATCTTCATATTCTGTAGGTGGCACATGAGATAGATTCTGATGCTCTAAATTGTTGTTGTTGTTGCTGTTGTCCACAACCCAAGAAGCTTCGCAATTTGAAGACCTCACCAAGAACGAATTCCACTGCGAGAAAGAACCAAAACTCTCCAATACAGACATCAAAGATCGACAAGGTGAAGATAGCAACGATGACTCCAATATCTTTGATACACAAGAAGTCAATTTGTCACTTTCCCTGGTCACCCATTTAGGCTTCCATGACCATCCAATAATTAAGCCAATAAGAAAAGATATCCACAGCGGACCTAAAAAACCCACCGTTTCTGTACATAAACCTATCATTGAAGAGGGATGCTCTAAAATATCATATAAAGCTTCAATCAAGGCCATAGCATCACATAAACTCACAAAACCTAAATGGTCAATCAATAAACCTCTAAATTTGCAATCTTTGTTGTCTTTGGTAACAAAAGTTTCAATCTTCGAATCAAGTAATCAAGGAAATTGATAACTCAAGAGATAGACAACAAAGGGTTTCAAGAAATATAGAGAAATACCAAACCCTGAAAAGAAATATCACACGAATTTGGTAAGAAGAAGACAACGAGGGTGTCTGTGTTTGTTTTTATGCGTGAAGATGATTGAGACATGAGTGGTGGCAAGAAAAGATTCTGTGAGTGGATAAGGGAAGAGGTGGGCTGGGTTCACGTCACCATGCTGTTTTTGAGAACTTCGCAAAGCAATCTTGTTCGGTGGAGGAGAAATCTTCTAAAAGGACCTGTGTGCATAGAGGAGGGGGGGCCCAGTTTGGGAAAAAACAGAGAGAGAGAGAGAAAGGATTGGTGGAGACTGACTTTAGTTAAGTACTCGTCTACCAACTCCGCCTCACCTAGATTTGTCTTAATATATATGTATCTTTGGATGTTCTAACAGAGAGGTCTCAGTTGTGTTGTGTAATAGTGTACTTTGTTCACATGTTCCTGGGGCTAATTCTATATGAGTCCCTATATTCTTATCATTTTTAAATCTAGTCCCTTTACTAAAGTTCATTCTTGTATTCCATAATTATTGACGTTAAGAATGTGGTATTCCTGTCAATTGTTTTTTTTTTGGTTAATAAGCATGTTATTTTTTTAATTATTTTAGGAAAAGTGTCCTAAAAAATAAAAATAAATAAATAAATGCTTTTATCTTTGTTATAAATAAAAACCTCTCAGCCTCTTAAAGAGAATGTAACACTGATAATGTTGTGTTTTTTAAAAGTTTTTTTTTTTTGTTAATAACTAAACAAATTCTCTACTATCTAGGAATTTTTAAAAAAAAAATAAAGAAAACTAATTTGGTTTATTCTTGTTACAAATCAAAACATTTTCATTTATAGAAGATGATTCAGTTTGATTTTACATTAGATAGGTGACCTGTGTTATATTGTGGGTTATATTAAAAAAATAAATTTAAAAAAATAATTAAAATAATTTATGATTTAGATCATAAATGTAATTGGATCCATTAAGACTACTTCATTTAATAATATGATAAAAAATAATAATAATAAATAGACTAAATTAAAAAATAAAAAGTGATCATGATAACCAGCATAAAAAGAATTCTTTCAAAAATAAAATAAAATAATGAATCTAAATTCCTAAACAATCTAATGTTTAACAATAAAATTGAAAAAAAAATGAGCCGAGTGAACTAGAATTAGCATGCCAAACCCGTGATGTGGGTTGTGAGATCATGATAACCCTATATAAAATAAATTAAAAAAAATTACAATGTTCAATTCTCAAAAATCTAAAAGTAGAATCATAAAATCAAAAACAAAATCAATTAACAAAAAAAAAAAAAACCCAACAAACCTAAGCAAGGTTGCCAAACCTCATGAGCCAGATAATTCAAATGAGATAACTTAATAGAAAGCCATTTACAAGAATCAATTATCAAACTAACCCAATTTTAAAGGACAAAATAAA